GATTGAGACATGATATTTTACTTTTAGGGTGCACGTATCCCTTTTGATTGATAAACTGAATGTCTTCATGAAATTCGTATAATTGATAATTCTGTATGATTAAATGTAATGCATTGTGCAACTCTGCTGACGTCAAAAATTCCGTCCCACCTGTGTGTTTACCTCGCGATCGTTTAATGAAACGTGATATCCAAGCGACTATTTTTACAATACGAGTTAATGAACTGTAATTGCACAATAGCTCTTGTATAACTGAAATGTTATTTTTATATAAGGCGGTGTTCACACAGTGTTTTTTGATCTCAATATTCGGCGATTGATAAGAAGTGACAGGTAATGTATTACGATCGAAATGAATTATCCATTTTGGACCCTGCCACCATAATGGATGGTTAAGTAGCTTCTGTGACGTGAGACCCCGAGTGGCACAATCTGCCGCGTTATCCTCTGACCGTACGTGATGCCAACATGATGATGGAACGATATTGGTGATTGTGATAATTCTATTAGCCACGAATTGTTTCCACCTATGGACGTCTCCTTGGATCCATCCTAGGACTATCATGGAGTCAGTCCAGGCATAAATTTCCACGTTTTCATTTGATAATGACTCCATAACCTTCTTGATAAGTTGAGCAAGAAGTAACGCACCACAGAGTTCGAGCCTTGGCAGTGACACCTTTTTAGCCAGAGGCGCTAATTTTGTTTTTGCGACAGCGAGTCTCGATATGCACTCGCCCTTATGATCTTTACTTACGACATATACTGCACAAGCATATGCCTTATCGGAAGCGTCACAAAATGCATGTATTTGATACAATTGGTTTGTATTACCAATGTATCGCGGTATAATGAATTGGTCAATCCATCCGAGGGCAGTCTGCTGCGCAATTGGAGCTTGAGATGGACCTTTGATAAGACCGTCCATGATGATCTGTGAATAAATGCTGACATCCAAGAGAAGATCGATAGGCTTGGAAACATTGTACTCTGGATCAGCTAATTGCAGATGCTGGAGATGAGGCCATGATTGTTTTTTGAACTGAACGCTAGGCAAGTTACTGGCAACCCGAGAGAGTACGAGTGCTTCTGTAGTGAAATTATAATCGCCGTAGATAGATTGACAGTCGATAGATACTAAACCCTTACTTTGACTAGCACCTGAACCTATACCGGACGCGGACGCATTGTAACGTCGCCTCTGTAAGCCTAGTCGTTGCACAGCGTTCTCCGATATAAGTGATATTTGAGACCCCTGGTCCAGGAGAGCCCTTAGGGTTATATAGGTACCGTCAGAACACCTTACATTGATCGATAACGTGGTTAATAGTAATTCTTCATCGTCTACTGCGACATGATTGGCATTAGGCTGTTTGTTGGGTGTTTTTGCGGACGGACCCGATGTAGACGATGATGATGAGGATTGATGTTTTGATGATTGCATACACGCTTCATGGAGTATGGTATGATGATTGCCTTGGCAAGACTTGCAATGTTTGGTGGAAGTACATTCATTTCCGTCGTGAGAGAATAGGCAATTTTTACAAATATTTGATTGTGTAACTATTCTCATTTGTAAATCCGGAGTCATGTTAATAAATTTTTTGCATGAAAACAAATTGCGATTATGATTTAGGTTGCAAACTGCGCATTTCGAGATATGAATAGCTTGAGCTTGATAATTTCGATGATTAAAGCCTTTATAATTATTATATTTGTAATAATTATTTTGCACTTTTGGATTTGGGGTTCGTTTGATAGATGTAGCGGGTTCCTTATCATATTTGGTTATCTGTTCCAACGCAGTAAATTTACCTTCAAGGAATGTCATTAACTCGTCTAACTTAGGTAATTTTCGCGGTTCGACGCGTGCTTCTCTGTAATCAGTCTGGGTATCCGTATCCAGTTTTTTACATAGAAGGTGCACCAATAAAGGATCCCACGCATTAGTATTGACGCCAAGATTGTGAATAGCATGAATGCACTCCGTAGTAGTGTCATATAACCTTTTGATTTCGGATGATGATTGTTTTTGAATGTTGGGCTGATTGAGAAATATTTCGATTTGATGAGTGAAAAGAGCTTGCTCGTTGTTGTATCGATGGACTAAAATCTCCCATGCGGTATCGTAGTTTTCCGATGAGACATTTAAATGATAGATGAGTCGTTCAGCTTCGCCCTTGAGCTTACCCTTAAGATGTTGCATCTTTTGGGCCTTGGTGATGGAATTATTGTTATGAATTGTCTCGCTAAACAAATCATAAAAGGTTGGCCATTGACTATAATTTCCGCTGAACGTAGGTATCTCAAGTTTCGGAGTGACCTTTTCTAAATGAGTCGTAGAGGAGATTTTCCTATTTAGCTCACGTTTGATATTTTTGTAAGCTAACTCATGACGAGTGAATTCCTCGTCATACGATATATCTCCACCCGCAAGTATATGATCGATTTTCAAATGCTGAGCGTCGATAATTTTCCAAATAGACTGAACGCCGTTTAGCTCGTCTTCGAGTTCCCATTTATCCGATATATTTTCAACCTTGATGCTCTTAATAAGTCGACTAAGTGCCCTGAAATTAGTCCGCTGCATTGCTAACAATTCATCAACCTCCCCATCTGGTTGAGTTGATTTTGATGATTTTCCGTAAGATGATAAGAGGATGCGGACAGACTGATAAAGGTCTTTGCCTACCTGATAGGTATTTAGACGGAAATATTCATCTGCCTCACTGGCATGATCGGAAATTCTAGAATGATTTTGTTCGAACTCTTCCCAGAGAGCGTCTAGCGCGCCTAACCGTTTTTTGATGTATTCGGCATTTTTGCGGGAATCAGAGTCCTTATTAAAGTTGACCTTTATGGTAGTGATACTGGAGATGATTTCAGATTGACGGGCTATACGAGATTCCATGTTGAAAAATAAAGGAACAGTCTTACTTGATAAATGATGATCCAGATGCGACGTTACAGTAGTGACGTCCTACGCCCCTGCTGGTGATTCCAACGAAGCTGACAGCGTGCGCGACCTCTCGCGCCACAGATGAGATGAAGATGATGAAGTATCGCGATTCAATGAACACGACCGAGATGGCTTAAGCTAGCGATGCTCAAGTCGATGATGTGTGTAGATTACACTGGTGATCGCACGGAACTTAAGTCCACGTCACGTTGACGTACACGAGACACGAATGCGCGCGCGAGGTCAAAGTAACCGCGAAGGTCCCGCCACGATCCGGCTCGAAGGACCAAAAAAAATGTAGAAGATTCCTACACCTTTGATGATACGATATGATGAGGGGTTAATCCTATAAGGATATAGAAATAATACCACCCGATTTGAATGCTAGATTAACATTGATTTATAATTCGTTATAAAAGACACAAATTACATTTTGCATTGTTTGCAATATACACAAAACCTGAGTGTGCAGAACGCACGGGCGTGAGTAGTTAAAATAATGTACGGTTCCGTACAGTCCAAGCACAACATAATTACTCTAAATACCTAGTCAAAAAGATCCCACGACAATCTTCTTGCTCCATCATCAGATTTACTCCATAACTTCATTGTAACCCGTGTAGGTGCGAAGTTTTCAATTATATAAATGAATTAGATAAGTCCAAACACGATGTAGTTACTGTAAGCCGTTAAGGAGTTCCCTGAGCTGTCTTTCGTTCTCATCATGTATGTACAATTTCCTCGCGACGATCATCAGGTCGAGTTCGACCATCGGCAAGTTGTAGCTCTGTAAAAAACCTAGGTACAAAAAAACATGCAAAAGCACTACTCGCCCCTACAATTTTCGAAAGTCTTCCTCGGTTTCCCTAGGATTCCATCATCAGATCCTGACCTCATGAAAATGTGACCCTCTCGGGAGTTTAACCTTTCAAACAAAACAAGAATTTTGGAAATCGGTTCATAAATGGCGGAGTAATAGGTTTTTTTTTTGTGAGGGGAAAATCTTTGGAAAGGATTTATACAGAAATGTTGGAAATGACTTTATTTCTGACAAACGAGCCTTGGCTTTCTGCCCTGTTCGTTGCATGGTTCGGCCAGTGGTCCAGCCACTTGCTGCGTTAATCGGCCACTCATTAAGCTAACCCTCTTGTCAAATAATGACATAGTAGTTATCAGCCAGTTTTACCCGACTACGGCAAAGCAAAAGGAGGGTTATGATTTTGACAGGCTATGTATATTTACGTAACTCATAAACTACTGATAATAATCGACAAATGACATATCATTAACCTCTTAATTGTCCGCTGGTTATAGGCTGTATGGGGTATCACAAAATCTAATCTTAGATCTAAATACTAAATTGAAATCGGTTCATTCGTTCAGGAGCTATGCTGCCACAGATAGACAGACAGACAGACACGTCAAACTTATAACACACCCCTCGTCTTGTCGTCCGACCAGCAGTAGGCCTCCAGGCGGCGGCGCCGTGTTCTGCGCGCGTCTCATAGTTGAGTCCTGCGATCGGGGTGACGGCCGCAGTGGGTGACGACTGACGGGGCCCGCCAAACCATCTGGCGGGCCAATACCCGTCGGGGGGTTGCGTCGAATGCTTCGGCGTTACCCGCCGTTTCGACACAAGAGTAAGTAGAGGAACACCGGGTTGGTTTTTAGTCAGTAAGAGTCTGACAGTACCTTTCGCCCTTCCCGGGTCTCAATGACGATTTTCCAACTCGACACAAAAAAAAAAATATTATGACACCCCTCTTTTTGCGTCGGGGGTTAAAGACAATATATTTAGAATACTAAAAGGCGAAGTCACACGTTACATGTACCTAGTTTGGTTTTAGTTTTTATACTTTTTATCATTATTATCTATGATTCTCGTCAGGGGATTGAAATTGAAATAGATTTTCAAACAAAGGAAACATGATAATTTAAAAAATAAACTCTGTAGAGAAAGACTCGCTTATTTTATGTTCTAATTAGCATGTAAAAACCATCGTTGAGAATACATGGGTATGGGTCACACAATTCAAGCAGTAAACGTGGGGTTGTTCCAGAGGCCGCGTGGCGCCGCTCGCGCGCTCCGACCTAGTGGTGCACGGCCGGCCCGCGCGCCGCCCGCGCCCTCTACACGAGCGGTGCGTATACTGTGTATTACCTAGTCATAGCTCCAAGCTTGGTTGTGTACCTACTTGTTTTTATATAATCATATATTTTTTAAACGGTTTAGGTTACGTACTTGCAATTTCATATACTTTACATATGTATACCATCCAGATTTGTAGATCAAAACACGTAAAGAGTTCATTCTCTGCCCCGTGCGGGATTCGAATTCTCGACACGTTACACGGCAGCTTTGTACCTAATTATAATATTGTAACAGTAAATTGTTTATGTGTACTTTACTGGAATACATACAGTCGTGGTCAACTAATCAGGGACAGTTAAAACACCAAGAAATATTCATTATTCAAGTTATTTTAGTATCGATAATATTGTAAACATATTAATAACTAGCTTCTGGCCGCGACGGGCGTCCGAGTGGAATGGTGACTTCTGGCTATTTTTTTATTTTACCCATATTTTTCCAGATCTCATCGGATTTTTGGGTTCCTTTTGAATTCCCGGGATAAAAATTATCCTATGTCCTTTCTCGAGTTTCAAACTATTGTTACGTGCCTGACGTCACGTTCCTGACTATGCGGGCTTGGGTTACGGGATTGGATGAAATGAAACACTAATACCGGTTTTCAGACTTTCTATTGCGCTTAAGTTACAGCGTCCACGGAGTTAAGTTATCGGCGTTCCTCTCCAGCAGAGTCCGGCCGACTGACACAACTTTGCCGTTCACGCTAACTTCACTTAACTGACTGCACTTCACTATTTCACTGCACTTCACTATTTCACTCACTTTTCTTCTTTTTCACTTCTTCCTTTTCTTCCGAATCGCTTTAGACTTAGAACTCAACTGCCAGCGGTGAGCCGCAGTTCCGCTTATATACCCCCGGTCAGGTTCTAGAACATTCAATTTCGTTATTCTTTTTTGATCGTCATGCCTCCAGAACCTTCCAATAATTTCGTTATTCATTTTTATTTATTCGCCTTCTCGCTCCTTAATTTTTCATTACTTTCACTCAAATATTCCAGAAAGTTCGACAAAACTTCCATCAACTAAAAAACTTCATGTTTACGGCGGGACTCGAACTCGGGGTCTCTGTGGTGTAATCCACACGCCTTACCGATTACACCAACTCGTGTTGACAATTCACGACGAAATTTACAATCTCTAGGCAACGTTTGACAACCATCCATTGACGTCATGATGTCAAAGAGTTTTCTGTCACACTGCCCCCCTCTTAGATTCGCTCGTCCCGAGCATCGTTGCTGCCGTAATACCTCGCCAACCTGTCTATATGGACAACTTTCAAAGGGCTCCTTGAAGACTTCCGAATTCTGTAAGTAATGTCATTGATCTTCGTGACTATCTCGTAAGGACCTTCCCAACTCGGTTGCAGCTTTGGAGATTTTCCCTTCCTTCTGACTGGATTATGAAGCCAGACCAATGACCCCTCTTCAAACCCAACAGAATTGGCTCGTCGATCATAGCGCGTCTTTGCGCGATCACTAGCTTGAAGACCGGCCTCCCTGATCTGCTCATAAATGTCCAACATTTTTGCCCTTAACTCGCTTATGTAATCGCTAAACTCGGTGCGAGAGTCACCAGGTGGACAGCCCGATACAAGATCTGCCGGTAATCTCAATTCCCTTCCAAAATTTGCAAATGCAGGCGTCTTTGCGGTACTTTCATGTACAGCAGTCCGATAGGCAAGCAAGAAGAGAGGTATGTAAGTGTCCCAATCTCTCTGATGGCTGTCAACCACCTTTGCTAAGTGTCGCTCCAATGTTTGGTTGAAGCGTTCGACCATTCCATCTGACTGTGGATGATAAGGGGTCGTTCGAGTCTTATGGATTCCCAAAAGTTTACAAGTTTCCTGGAAAACTTGGGATTCAAAGTTCCGTCCTTGATCACTGTGCATCTCCAAGGGCACTCCGAATCGGGTGAATACCTCGTTTACCAACTTCGTGGCTACAGTTACTGCCTCTTGATTCGGTATGGCAAAGACCTCCGGCCATTTTGTAAAATAATCCATAACCACTAAAACGTAGCGATTGCCCGAATCAGTGATTGGAAATGGTCCAGCGATGTCTAAGGCTATTCTCTCCCAAGGCATACCAACATTGTAGATTTTCATCGCCCCTCTGCTTCTTGTTTGTGGACCCTTGACAGCTGCACAACTAGTGCATTTCCGGCACCAATCTTCGACGTCATATTTGCAATGCAACCAATAAAACCTCTCCTTGATCTTCACCAAAGTCCTCCTAATTCCCAAATGTCCTCCAGAAGAACCATCATGGAACGCTTTTAATACATCCCTTATTTTTGAACGAGGCACCACCAATTGCAAATGCTCGTCCTTGCCGTTTGTTGATTCCCATTTCCTGCACAGAAGTCCGTTATGCAGCGTAAGGCTTTTCCATTGTGCCCATAAACCTTTCGTTACCGCGCTGTATTGGGCGACGTCACTCCAACTTGGCTTGTTACCACTTCGTAGCCACTCCAGTATTGGTTTGATATCTGCATCTCTTTCCTGTTCTAATTTCATCGCATCATCTCCCCATGCCTCGTCAACAGTATCAGTCCTTATCACCTTAAGAAAAGCAGTTTCCTTCTTGGCACAATGCTTGCAATCTTCCACGCATGGGCGTCTCGATAATGCATCTGCGTTGCCATGAATTCTTCCGCCGCGATGTTCGATTTCAAAGTCAAATTCCTGAAGTTGTTCCAACCATCTGGCTACTTGGCCTTCGGGATCCTTAAACTGAAGCAGCCATTTCAAAGCAGCGTGATCAGTTCTGATCAAAAATTTCCGTCCCAGTAAATACTTCTTGAAATGGTGCAGAGTTTTGACTACGGCCAGCAATTCCCTCCTGGTCACGCAATAATTCTTCTCCGGCTTGGATAGTGACTTGCTGAAGTAAGCAATAACCTTCTCCTGCTCACCATCGCGTTGTGAAAGGACACCTCCTATTCCAATATTGCTGGCATCCGTATCAACTACGAATATTCCTTTCGCACTGGGGTATCCGAGAATTGGTGTGTTACAAAGCCGTTCTTTTAGTTCTCGAAAGGCTTGCTCACAATCCTCGTCCCAGATAAAGGCACGTTTCTCCTCTGTCAATCGATGCAAAGGCTTGGCAATGTCCGAGAATCCTTTCACAAACCGCCGATAATACGAGCACAATCCAAGAAATGCCCGAACTTGCGTTTTGTCTTTAGGTGTTGGCCATTCCTTAACAGCGGCAGTCTTGGCTGGATCAGTCTCAATTCCTCTCTCAGAAATAACATGTCCTAGATAATTCACTTCGCGCTTGAAGAAAGAGCATTTCTTTGGACTCAACTTTAAATTTGCTCCACGCAGCTTATCGAGTACCTTTTCCAATTTCCTTAGATGATCGTCAAAATCCCGTCCAACAATGATGATGTCATCGAGGTAAACTAGGCAGGTTTCGCCCAGCAGTCCCGCCAGCACCTGTTCCATCAAACGCTCAAAGGTTGCCGGTGCATTGCATAATCCAAATGGCATCACCTTAAATTGCCAGAGTCCCTTCCCAGTTGAGAATGCGGTCTTTTCCTTGTCCTTGGGATCCAAATCCACCTGCCAATAGCCGCTTTTCAGATCGAGCGTTGAAAACCATTTCATGCCACTCAGTGTGTCAAGTGTGTCATCGATTCTTGGTAACGGGTAGCTATCCTTCTTGGTTACATCATTCAATCGTCGATAGTCTACGCAAAACCTCGTTGAACCATCTTTCTTCTTGACAAGCACGACAGGTGAACACCAAGGGCTAGAAGAGGGCTCTATCACGTCATTTTTCCTCATATCGTCAATCATTTCTTCAACCTCTTTCTCACGAGCGAATGGTATGCGTCTGGGCCTTTGACGAATTGGCATTGTATCACCTGTGTTTATTTTATGCTTCACCAAACCAGTTCGGCCAATATCACCATCGCTTCTTGAAAACACATCAGGGAATCGAAGAAGTAAATTTCTAGCTTTCATAGTCTCCACTTTTGTCAGACTTTTGTTTTCGTCTAAGATTTTCGTTACAAAGTCTATTCCCGTACTGTCCTTCTTCACAAGATTCTCCGAGCATTTTCTTATCCAGGCCACTTCTTCCAATACGCCCACAGGCTCTCCTTCTTCAATCGTAATTTTTGAATCACTGAAGTTGAATACCGGAATGCGGTTGACATCAGATGACCCAACGACAGTTCTCGCCGGTAGCCATGAGTTTACGTGTTCCGATTTATCAATCACAGCGCACCTTAGAGGTAAACTTCCTTCCCTCCTCCTAGGTAATGCGATTGGTACGAGAGTCTGTGATTTTGGTTCAAGAACAGTTCTTCTTAAACAGCAAACTTTTCCCAGGGTTCCACCCTTCATCGGAATTTCCTCAGTTCCACATAGTAATACTCCAGATTTTAAGTCGATGTTACACTGGTGCCCTTGCAGGAAGTCAAGTCCCAGGATGCAGTCATCCAGAATTTTGGCCACAATAACCTCATGTCGATAAACACGTTCCCCAATTTTGATTGTTACATGCAGTTTTCCACTTATCGGTATGCACTGGCCGGTAGCTGATTTCATTCGTAGGCCAACAATTGGTTTAACGTGTTTCCTGATGTTTTGCCCGAGCAGCCGAACATTTATCACCGTCCTTGAAGCTCCAGTATCTGGGTGATTCTTTGAACCACAGTTTTGACAATATTTTCATTGAAGAACATTAGAAAGTAATGTCCGACTGAAATATCCTTTGCAGGTGTTATGTAAATAGTTATTATCTATCGTGGCCTTATATCATTATTGCGATTTATTTAAACTAATATTAAATAAGTTTGCAGATAACAGTCAATTCTAATTAATCTGCTGTGTCCCAATGTCGGTTTTTGTTAAATAATTTTGTTTCCTGTCACCAATTGTCGAAATAAAAAAATAATTGTAAGTTCTATCGATATTTGAATGTTTATTTCTTAGTATTATCATACTTAAATTCAAGATTCTTGTATATTCTCGTA